TATGTTAAGCCGCCTTGCCCACCTGCCAATCACACACAAGAGGAATTGATTTTCAATGAGCTTACTTGTAAATTTACGGCATGCTTTTGTGGCAGAACAGCACAGACTAATGGAGAAACTGTTGTACTGTACACAAACACATGAATGGGATTTATATTAAAAACAAAAATTCACATATTTTCAAATAAATACAATTACAAGATTTACATTTACTGATTTAAAATATCCACCAAAAAATATATTATTCAACAGATGCACGCAGGTTCCACAGTGGAAGACCATTGAATTTCCAATTGGTACAAAATGTACATTGCGAGTATTGAATTGAATCCAAGGTTGTATTAACCAAATACTTAAACTTATTCAAAAATGCACAGCACTAGTGCATACAGTACAACGCATACTGGAAACTCTCAAATTTTGATCTTTCTCTGGCTAAGGCCCCCAAAAAAGTCTCCGGTTTCTGGTATGCGCGCGCGTCGCCATAGCCATGCACGTTGGCAAAATGAAAAAGTTTTTTTTCAATGTAAGATGTCTCAAAACCGCCACACTCACTGGTTTGACTGGAATCCTGCTGCTGCACAATTTTAACGTGTTTTTAGATGGGGTTACGATCAAGTATTTATACTTTATGTGGCCTCTCTGGACTCCCATATATTTTGCACTGAATTTAGTCTGGCATCATTTGCAGTCATCAGCTGACATTTGAAGAAGAAAAAAAAGTTTTAAAAAAGCTGCGTCGCCGCACCACTTTTGGGGCAAGCTCCATACCAGAAACCGGAGACTTTTTTGGGGGCCTAACTACAATATTACCCACAGTTTTTGGAGCATCTCCTAGATATGACAACCAACTTCAAAGTTTCCTCATACTCGACTGGGTCACTTCAATACGCACACAAGCATGAAAACTGGTGACCACGACACCATTAACCAACAATAAATAAAACCGTATTAATAAAATGATCGTCGCTCAAAGAAGCACCCACAATAAAAAAACAGATGAATACAAATGGTGTATTATGTCCAGTACTCAGCAAGAAATTTTCCCAATGAATGGTTCTATTCACTGTGATAAAATCAGCTCCATCCAATTCCTATTATTCTTCCCCCACAACGAAAGAAAAAAATGAAGTCAAGGTCAGTGTTGAATGGGGGGAGAAAATGGGGCAAATAATCTAAAGTGCTTATAAATACCACTGCCTTGGGGCAATTTTCAATAAACTCACCTGAAAAGTTTTACTTTTGCTCACACCTCACCAAATTCAATCCCCTTAAAAAATTCTAAAACAATTTCAACTGAAGCTGAAAAAGCTGGGCCTGGGATTTGCAAACATGAAAATTCCAATAAAAGTGCATTGACAATACTTTGGGTACTTTCACTCTTGTTCAAAAACCAATTTTGTACAAGTGTGTGGGTCTGTGGAAAACTTGATGTGAATACTTGATTTTAACATCAAGAAATACAAACTGAAATACAAACTTATCGGGTACATGTACACATAGTAAAGTATTAGCAGTTCTACCTAAAACTTAGTGTATGTGCATATGTATGTACATGTGTACATACAATTTAAATACATGCAGACTTGTAAAATGCAGGCTTTTTGTAAGGACTAGTTGTGGTGTGCATAATTTACGGGTAGTACTGGAACCGGGCACCCTATTAAAGTAAAACATCAGTACCTGGGTACCTATGAAAGAAACCCAACCCCAAAATTCAAATCCGGTATCCAGGAAGCTGTCTGAAGGGCTTTATAGCTTTACGGTGTAAACTGCAACTTTCGCAAGCGTCTTCTGAAATCTGTTTTGGTTTTCCATACATACATCATGTAGCCTGGTTTTCATTTTGAAAATTCCCAACAAATTGGATATCCTTCCTTGGCCTTTGTCATTGTCAAAGAAGTTACCAAGTAATTTGTTTACGGGTACCCGAATAACCCGATCCCATAATCTGGAACCCGTTCCTGGCATCAGCAGTTGGGAACTCTGGATGCCCACGCATACCGGTACATGTATTTTACACTACCCATAGGCCTATTATTACTATTAGAGAAAGTCAACTTCACATATTATAAAGCACAAATCATATTGTTGTTCGCTTTATTATAAAACTTTGGCTTCTATTCCCAAAGGCATTTTCTTGCCAAAAAATATGCACTCTTTTTCTTGTCTCACACCATTTTTCCCCAGTTTTCTAAAGTACAACAGGGAGACATTTTCCATGCCCGCATGAACTGTACATGGTTTGTGTGACCTTTTATGGTGAGTCCAAAAGCCAAGCACACATCACATTACATGTGCCATTGACTTCAGGCAATGGACTGTACCATTATCAGCACAGGTGGGTCTCAATAGGTTGGCATGCATTAGGGTGAAGGTCATTGCCTTAACCAGTTTCAAGAAATGCAATAGGCAACTGCTTAATGTAGACTTTTAAAGTTGCGTTGCATGGTTGCTTGTACTCTTAAAAAACAAAACTTATTGCTCTCCCCCCCCCCCCCCCCATTTTTACACTTTCAACTTAACCAGTTCAAGTCGGATGACGTGTTTACATGCAAAGGTTTTGCGGTATTCGGAACGGATGACTGATATTAGTGATAAACACGCAACGAGCGAGGCCAGTAATATCTGGCTGCAACCCGCTCGCAGCAAGCAAGGCCGGAAATATAAGGGTGAACTACCCGGAGATGACGGCCTGAACCCGTCTGGCATCGAGGTTTGTGAAAAACAATCCCGCACCTGGGTCCAGTCAATGTCAAAGTAATCCCGGCGCGAACTGGTAAAGCAAATTTGTATATCCCCTTTACCATTTTTGAACATCTGTAACCCTCTAAATTGTGTGTGTTTGTTTTTGGACACAAACAGATCCATTTGGAGAGCACACTGGCTCCAAGTCGGTACATTATCGATACTGATTCTGGGGCGGGAACCAGCCTACCCCTGCCAGAATGGAATCATTGTCTGGCAGCCAATAATTCGAAAAGTGTAAAGCAATGAATTCAATAACTAAACAGGGGCCCATTTTTTTTTAGGTCGATGTCTCATTCAAATGTGAATAACTTTTGTATTACTTGAAAAATCGCAATTTAGAAAAGGAATCTGTTTTTCGGGATGAAACTCGAATATAGCACAGGGATTGGGGACACAATGTACATCTTTAAACATTTGTATAGTCCGTGTTCTCCTAATATTCCATTTACCGAAATTGTCATGCAAACAAGGTATAAAACTAAAGCATAATTTTTTAAATGACAAAAGCACTTAATATGATCCTTTGCACTCTAATTATTTTGATCGTTCACAAATTTTGTTTTTATTTTGGGTGCTATGCATGGGTAAAAATAAAACATTAGTTAACTAATATTTAATTTTTACTTAGCCTACAAATTAAACATATGAGTTTTCGTGTGCAAAGTCTTTTTGGAAAGCTCGAAACTGATAAAATGGTTAGAACAACAACTGCAAATTAATTTGAAAAATGATTTTCCAGGCTGCCTAAAATAAAACCCCAAAACAGAGACAATGGTAATAATAGCAAAGACAATCGTATGTAAACATACACCTACAGATGGCATATTCTCAAACTGCATGGATGACAAAAATTTGAGGAGTTACTTCAGAAAGCACAATTTTTGTAAAAAAATACCAAAACAGGAACTTTTGTAATTGTACACGAAAACTACTCCTAGAACTATGAGGCTCCACGTAGTGGAGCCTCATAGGTTCAGAAGCCCGCAAAATTGTTGTCAGCACAAAACACTAATTAAGTACAAAAACGTCCATCCCAAGCAGGCCGTTTTCCACAGAACCGCTGCACAGTTTGCCCCTAAACTCCATACAATACCTCATGACATACTCACGTTATGTGCACCCAACAAACATCGGTGGATTCTGTCTGTTTTTCGGCAAAAATGATGAAAAATATGCCCTTTCTGCACTGAGCCAACCTAACACTTGAAACGAGCACGCGTGCAGAATGATCGCAGTTATTTTCGGTTCGATCGCTCGGAGCGCGCCGCGGGGGGTACGTACTTGCACTTGTACGCATGTGCATACTATTGTTCCGCTCCTACACCATACCCCCCGCGGCGCGCTCCGAGCAATCGAACCGAAAATAACTGCGATCATTCTGCACGCGTGCTCGTTTCAAGTGTTAGGTTGGCTCAGTGCAGAAAGGGCATATTTTTCATCATTTTTGCCGAAAAACAGACAGAATCCACCGATGTTTGTTGGGTGCACATAACGTGAGTATGTCATGAGGTATTGTATGGAGTTTAGGGGCAAACTGTGCAGCGGTTCTGTGGAAAACGGCCTGCTTGGGATGGACGTTTTTGTACTTAATTAGTGTTTTGTGCTGACAACAATTTTGCGGGCTTCTGAACCTATGAGGCTCCACTACGTGGAGCCTCATAGTTCTAGGAGTACACGAAAACAACGTATTTCATATCCTTTGTAATACCCAGATACCAAATACTGTTACAAAACGACCAAAAAAAAGGATTATCCTACAAATGTATTTCTCAACTAACAACAATCAATATTTAGTACCAACAAGAATGCTAGTAATATTGCCCATCTCAACTTCCTTGCCCCCATATAATAAATGGAGCGTCTACGAATTTCCTCGATCGGCCAAGTCGACGAGGATTTGTCACTCTCGACTGTCGTTTTGATTATGAAAATTACTCGCAATTAAATGGTTTACACAAGTAGACAAGTTGCTTCCCTAGAATACATGTCTTCCACTAGAAGTCCCGTTTTAGTCATAAAACATGGCTTGCAAATACGGCAATTCACTGACCCAAGACGGTAGAAAGTTTCGTTGTGCACTTTTGCAAAATAAAAAAACCCGTCGCACAGTGCACAACTCGTTGAGGTTTGAGCAGAAAATAACACTAAAATTCTACTTTATGCAGTTACGACAGCACTTCCATTTTTTCGTGTTAGTAATTATAGCGTTGAATGTCTGTGTGAGTGAAATTTTAAACGGGAAATCTTACCTGGAATGATAAAAAATGGCGTGTAAAATCCTGTCCAACTTTGTCGGCGATGTCCCCTGCCCACCACCTAAATCAAGGACAGTGATTTCTTCCAGGTCACGTGACGCGTGGACCAGCCTTTGATTGGCCGGCTCAAGTGCCAACTATTCTGCTCTTACATGGAGTGGTCACACTCCCGTTGGGGGCGTCAAAAAAGTTTAAGTCATTGAAAAGCTGATCGTCGTAAATGCGTTGATTGATAAATGCTTGGTTGAAGTACTTGACCTGGTTCATTAATAACAATAATATCATGGGATTATGGCAATGGTGATGGGTAGATAATGTAGATGGTTGAACTTCGGACCAAGATTGAGAATTATTGCCGTGCCCTGGTAATGGCACAGTCGAAACATCGTGAAATTAAATTTTGGAGAGGTGCTTATATTCATGTAGGCCCTATGCAATTACACAATGCCTTTTGTACATGACCGATCGACCGCTAAAATAAACCAGAAAAAAAAATCAAGCATGTTTAAACATTCCTTCAGGATTATGGGTATCCTCTATTAATCCGTGAACAACTCCAATGTGTTTCTAAATATATTTATTTTTAAAGAATAGACTGCATCAATGCGTATTTACTTTTTTCCTGATATTGTTTGCACATCACGTGATTGGGTTTCTATTTTAAGAATGTCGTGTTAGCGATTAGCAGTAACAAACCTTCATTTCAATAGCAGCCTAAACAAGAATGTTTGTTCTTCACATAACGATTAAGCTGCACTTATAATATCGTTATTTCTTGTAAAAAAAAAAGATGGCACTATAACTCACTATAACTTGCTGGCCATCTCAAATGATTTTTTCCTGTGACTTTTTTTCTGTGACGTTCTGCACGCGCACCCCAGTTTTGTCGGAGCCAGCTAGCCCAAGAGAAGTTTACTCTCTCCAAAGTTCTGTGCTTACGTATACGTAGAGTCAGTGTGCAAAAAAATATATACACTATGCTGTCAAGTTTTTCTCCAGTGGTGTTTTTGTCGATGTTTTCTTAAACACCATTTTTTTCGATCACTGAAAGCCCATGCTCGACCAATTCAATTACTCGACTATGAGACTAATCTAATTTAAAGGACCGTCCTAATTTCATATTAAGCAGGAACATGTAGGCCTTATTATACTGGAGCCGACAAACGACTAGCCAAAAAATGATAAGAAAAGCTGCAAATCGTAGCCCCTTTTCGCGGCTCTTTAAAAGACGTCGGAGTGGCATTTTTATATGCAAGTAAAGAATTACAGGACTCATAACCTGAATCATCGGTTAGGTTCTAATTCAGATGCCGCGTGCCTGCAATAACAGTCACACATGCATGGAATATTAATTTTAGTTTACTCAGGGGTTAGCAGAGACTCTGTTTGCACGTACACTAGACGCGCGATTTTATCTGTCCTCGCATCAGCATACCGCGGAATACCACAGCTATTCGGTTTACCGCAACGGGTACTCCTTAATTGCAAAAACGGCACTAGTTATTGAATGACGGGTTTTCAATCAATGTCCTTTTAAGGAAATCTCAAAACGGACGTTGTTCAGTAATGCAGGGAATTGATTGTTTCCGGGTTGATAATGAACAACAGGCACTAAATGTGGTTATAAACCCCATGTACAATGTACATGTAATATTACAAAGCCATATTGCGCTATAGGCCAGTGGAGCTGTTTAGTAAACAAAATGCTTAGCACATGCCTATAGCAAAAATAAGTTGAAACCAGTCACAAGCAATGTATATTGAGTGGATTTTTGCTGGTAACTTTTTTTTTCCTAAGCAAAACTTTTCTGTGCTTAGCGAGTTTAAATCAAGTTCAATCTTAGGAATTTTGGCAGCGCTACCCGTGCACGCATGTCTTCTAGCTTGAACCCGGTTCGTAAGTGTAACGTTACTCAAGTTCAGTTACACCACGCCTCGTTTTGCCCATTTTAAGTAACATTGGAACAGGAAATAGTGCCAAGTTGCATGCTTAGGATTATGACGAAGTCAGTGAATGAGCACGCAATGCGTGAGGCATGCTCGGAATTTGCTGGGTAGCGTTGCCGAAGTTCCCAAGACTGATTTGTGATTCATCGTGTTGATAGCGACCTCTATCGCCGTGGCGACTATACCGAGCGGCTGTACAAATTCTAACTTTTTTTGACCAAGACGTACTCTCAAGAGCCAGAATAGCAAAAATTACAATGAAACATATGAAAATAATGAGACAAAAAATCATCAGTGGACAAATTCTATAAAAGAGATCGAAGATGGACTAATATTATTCTGAACCGGTGATGTGACTTTGCACTTGCTCTAAAAAACACAAAGTTTGTCCTCGAAACATATAGAGTTCGGTTTTCTATGGTTAAAACAAAACCAATGAAAAAATCCGAACAAGAACAAAAATAATCGTTTCCTTGGGAAGTCCCCACGGGCCAGCATCTTGACCTTGCGTTGTCCTATTTTCGCCCCCCCCTGCGCCTCCGCCGGGAGCAGCGTGATCCGTCGTCTGACCCAGCCGGTGGCATGTAAAATTTGGACTGCTGTGAAATTTGGTCCCGTTTACCTTATTATGGACTGTAACCTCAGACCCGTCACTGTTTTCAACGATGTAAGGGGCACGCGCAATACATCCATAGGAATTTTTTAATAGAGTTTAATTTAATACTACACCCGACTTTAAACCGTCCTAAAGGGAATGGTATGTAATGAGGACCGAGTCGGCTGTTTTGGAGGTATGCAAGGAATCCACAATCCATGTCGTAGAGGGCGATGGTCCAATAAACATGTAATACACAGTGCGGCTTGGCTTTGGTATATGACTTTGGCTTATGGCGCCTGGGGCGATGTGATGTTGGTCTTTTAAAGGAACTTGTAGTTGGTGACTTTGCTCTTTTGGTGAGTGATAAACAATAGTATGCTCACATTTTTAAGTCAAGCGTCAGCCAATTCCTACCATTTTTAATACCAATTTGAAACACATATAAATGATAAAGATGCACTATCTTTGTATCAAACAAAACTTTATTCTCCAATTTAATGAAAACCTATCACAAATATGTATTTTTTTCACACTTGGTATAATTAAGAAAGTACCAATAGTTTCACAAACTTAAAAAAAAGTAACCAAAAACTAAATGATGATAAAATTAAAACAGCATCTGTAATTTAAAGTATGATTGTTTGTCATCACATTGATAAAATTATCAAAATGTCATGATGTGACAGTCACTGCATTTTCTTTGGAAATCTGGAGCCCTTTTAAAAAGCCACGTCTTTTTTGACATATCACACCTAGGTGCAGTTGAATGGGAAGGTGTTGAAAGTACCCTGCTGTGTACTACTGTGCATGCAAATCAGATGATGAATATGCATTAGCAATAAACTTGCGCAAGTCTCCCAAGCGTACATACTGCAGGCGGTTGCAGGCAGGTTTGTGCCCTGCATCATGTACACAACAACAGTGTATTATTTTTGCTTAGGAATTAAATTCAGATTGAGTCTGCAAAAAGACCTTATGCGTTAGGGTGGGGTCAGAGGGCAAGTTTTTGTTTTGCTGGGATTAGTGGGATAGGCGTGGTTAAACCTTCAATACATTCATTGTTATGACTTCTGACTAGCGCCCATTAACAAAATAAAGAACTTCCAACAAAATAAAGAACTTCCAACATGTGGTAGTTGGTAGAGCACTGGAACGGCCATCCGGAGGTTGCAGGTTCAAACCCCCTGAGATACCTGCTCTGCATAAGGTCTATACACCCCTCTCATACGCCATCAGGTGCGTATGTACGTGTTCTACATAACCCCCAAGGAACGACACACAAAGTGAGAACAACAGATCCTTTCAGTCCTCGGGCGTTGGGTCTTTTGTTGGAAACAGTTCTCTGTAGTAAGTTTGTGCGCTCAGTCTATGGGAGAGTGCTATAATACAGGGACAAAGTGAAACACAAAGCATTGTCCTTGGGAGTATAGTAAAACACGACTGAGTGTGAGCATGTGCAAAATGTTCTAAACACGCATGCACGTTGCTCAAAATTTCTCCAAAATACGGCGCAGACGATGCACGTCACGAGAATTGGGCGCCCAAAATGACGATGCACGTGGCAATCTGTAGGAAGTGGCGTCATTTGAGAGAGACCTATTTTAATACAGAAACTTGGGATACTAGATGTTATTCAAACCTTGCAAATACGTCCTTTTTCTTGTGTGCAGATTCAAATAACTTAACAAACTACTAGCAAATAAGTGCCAGAAGATTAATCTGACACAATACTTGAAAAAAAATAAGGGAAACGGGCAAAGAATACATTTTTTGGGTATAAAAAAGATGGAATGCTTACATTTTATACAGAAATGAAAAATAGACACTGAAGCAGTGATTCATAAGGAATTATTTACAAACGGCGACCAGAGGACAACAGTTTTGAAGTGGGTTTACGAAGCCTAGACTTGTGTGATTTGAAGTACGAGAACTACAACGTGGCTGCAAGTTTGGGTGCGCGTTTGCAAATTGGGGGAAGGTGACAATGAATCTGAACAGCTTAAGACCTGGAAATGTGTCAAGGGAAACTGCTCCGGCACCGTCCTCATGTAGTTTCCATTTCGTCTTCTGTTTTGATTGAAAACAAAAAAACGACAAGGAAATCAAATATCTTGCCACAGGTATTGCAAATTATTAACAAAATTTAGGATATGCTAAAAATGCTGGAAGTCAGTATCCATGAAAATAATGAAGCAGTAAAGGAAGGATGATTAACTATACGTGTTCCCATTGCTATCTTCAAGTTTCATCCTGAACTGTTACAGTAGATTCCTTTTCTTAATTGCTTTTTTTCTGGCAACACAAAAGTTATGAATGAGATATTGACTCAAAATCGAACCATGTTTTGGAATTGAATTATTACTTCACAATTTCAAATTATTGGCTGCCAGACAATAATTCTGTTCTCGCGGGGTAGGCTGGTTCCCGCCCAACAATCAGTATCGATACTGTACGGACCAGGAGCTAGTCTGCCTGCAAAGTGGATCTGTTTAATCTGATGTATACATGGTACCCTGTGGAGACATGTGCATAATAGGGAACAAAAGATTGTATACGTCTCCACAGGGCAATTTCCATAGGTGAATATGTCTCCACAAATAGATATATGGATTTTACTCAAAAAGTAGGAATTTCTAAGGTGTGTTGAGAACGCAACTTTAAGATAATTTACCCCAAAAAAACCCCAAAAAACGGTGAGATTTCTGGACTTACCGGTGACCTCATTGAACATGAATTCCTGCTGGTACTCCTTGAGGAACTGTGTGGACCGTGACTCGTCCAGGAAGAGAGAGTAGACTCGCTTGATATCATCCATGTCAACCTCCGTTCCCTAGGTATTCAGATGAGAAAAAATGTGATCAGAGTCAATCACAATCACAAGTCAATCAAGAGTCAATCATAAGTCAATCAAGAGTCAATCACAATTCAATCAAGAGTGAATCACAAGTCAATCCAGGGTCAATCAAGAGTCAAACACAAGTCAATCCAGAGTCAATCATTAGTCAAGCAAGAGTCAATCAAGACTCAATCACAAGTCAATCAAGAGTGAAGCACAAGTCAATCAGAGTCAATCACAAGGCAATCAAAAGTGAATCACAAGTCAATCAGAGTCAATCACAAGTCAATCAAGAGTCAATCACAAGTCAATCAGAGTCAATCCCAAGGCAATCAGAGTCAATCGCAGGTCAATCAAAGTCGAATCACAAGTCAACCAAAAGTCAATCACAAATCAATCTAAATTCCAAGCTAATTAGAGTCAATCACAAGTCAATCACGAGTCAACCCAGTGGTGTGAGTGACCTCTGATCAAAATAGCTGAAAACAGCTGAAAAAGGTGCAAAAAAGTTGAACTTTGGAAATCTCCTATACTTTTGTACACAGCAAGTGAGGGAAAAAAGCTGAAATCCAAAACAAAAAAAGCTGAAATCAGCTTTAAAGCTGAGATTTCACACCCCTGTCAACCAGAGTCAATAGCAAGTCGATAAGATTCAACAACAAGTCAATCAGAGTCAATCATTATGTTCAAGATGTTTCTGCTCCTTAATACTCTCTACAAGGAGGGAACTCTCAATGCCCACCTTTCTCTTTCTGCAGACCAGGTTGGCAGCGGTGATGAGCTGGATGCTGTATCTTAACGACGTCTCCATGCCGATGCGGGTCAGCACGGTGATGGCATCCTCTGACATCTCAACATCCTCCTCCTCACATCTTAGGCAAAAACGTTTTGTTTTGTGAATTAAAATTCTGGGTTCTGCCCTTGAGCAACTTGCCTACCTTTGCTTAAATAAGTGATGTAATAATAGATATCTCCATGCCCACGCAACCGTTAAGCACATCTGCGCTATGAAATAGTGCATAGAGGTTAGGCCAAAAAAAAAAATAAGTTGGTCTCTGGTCAGCGCGCGCGTCGATTTTAACCATGCGTGTCGATCTTTTTTTTTTCCAAAATGTTCCGCGGTAGCTCCAACAGCGCCCTCTATTTCCGCACCTCCTCAATTTTTTTTTTACCAAAGAGCACCAAGGAATGGGAAATTGCACCAAGGCAAATGATTGAAAGCACCAAGGCAAATTATGGAGGACACCAATGTACATGAGGACACCAAAAAAGCAAAATAGTACCCACCTTGTCTGTGCAATCCAAGCATGGCCGCGTCAATTCCGGAACTTTGGTCTGACCAGAGACCGAATATTTTTTTTTTTTGGCCTTAGCACAATTTTCTGCTATAGTTAGCACAACATGAGTCCAACATTAACAGTTTTTAGATTTGGTTTTCTGGTAGGGGATTCTGAAGCAAGAAATCAACACAAAAGCTAGAGACAAGGCCCGGGTTAAGTCCAATGTTGGGCTTTCTTTTACCTGATGGTGAGGATCTGTTTGAGTTCTTTCTCGGAGTACGGTGAGGTGGAGATGATGAGCAGGCGGTCCAGCAGGTCAATGGGGATGCCGTGGGGACTCTTGTACCTGGTGCCTCGAATTCTGAGTGAGTTGGGAAGAAATCAAAACCATTGGAAGAAAAATCCAAACTTATCTCTAACTAAAGAGGCAGTGGAAGAAATTTGACACCAATAAAATGTGCAGTGTTTGGACTCTGCGCTTGAATAGACCTTGTGTGAAACGGTGGAGTCTCTCAGGCCTTGAATTTGGTAATTATTAAGGGCAAGGCCATTGTGGCCTTGAATGAAGCAAAATTATAGAGGGCACCAAGGCCAGTAGGTAGGGCACTAAGGCCAAATAATATCTGCAGAAGGGGCACAGAGGCCAGCTAAATAAAATGCTAATATATCGGCGATCGTGTAGTGTAGGGCCCCTCTTTAGTTTTGATCAAATTAGAGTCAAGGGTGTTTTTTATCATTCAGAAAAATTACCCTTTCAACCTAAAGTAGACTTCTCTCCGTTCAAATGACACATTTTTTGTAATTTTGAACAGTTTTATTTTGGTATAGAAATTACGGTTTTTGTACGCGGTTTTATAGTTGGTGCCGTGCGATCGCCATCTTTAAAGTTTATTTTCGTGTTGCGTTTTGTCGTTGTCATCGTCAATTTACCCCAAAATTTCCCTAAAAAATTCAAAACCCTTCCCTCTATCTATGACCTACCTGCATGTTCTTAATGTCACCAACAAGTTTGGTAAGTCAAATAAATTATAAGTGGATTTTGTTCTCTTAGGGAACCGCGCCCATAATAAACGATCGCCATTTATATCTTTTGACAATCGGAACACCATGTGCACACGTGTTTTGACTACGGCTCGAGCTCGTTTGCCTCGTACACGAACATCAATGCGTATATTGTGTACCGCGCTTGCAAGCACTGAGAAAAAGAAAGTAGGTTGACTGCACGTAAGATTTTTGCGGCGGGGGTGTCGCTACTTGAAGTATCGGCACACTCCGGAACTGGAGATTGCATCGTACATGCATAATGTGTACACAGGCGTGCAACTGGGAAGTCACAAAAAAGAGGAAATTCAAATTTTTCCCAGACTTTGTACAGTGTTTTTCTATTTTCAATGGCACACATGGGAAGTCAAAAAAAGAAGAGGAAATCAGCTGATCCGAGGAAAAGTTGCATGCCTGTGTACAGTGCACGGGGAATCGCCAGTGCGCGCGTGATTGATTTAGCGAGATTTTAAAACAACCCATTGGGCTGGCAAGACATCGAAATACATTGTCAATGTGTGAAAAAAACAACTGAAATCAACGATTGTAGTGGTTTTAATAGGCTGATGAATGTTTTGCAAAAAGGGCACGATGGACAAGGTAAATACAGGGCAAACAATGGGTTCAATTCCAAAGCTCTGTTTTCTGCTCTATTTGCTGTTGTCATCTCAAAGCTTTGCTGTTAGTGAATACAGTCCAACGCCTTTCGCCTTACGGGCAGCCAATCACGTGTGGTTTGGAACCCTGACAGTATTTGACGTACCTTGTGATGCCTCTGTTTGTGGCCATGATGACGACGGGAGCCATGTCGTTCTCCAAGGCACGGTTCAAGAATGAGAAACACTCAATGTCCAACATGTGGACTTCGTCAATGAACAGCACCTGGTGAAAAATCCATGGATTTTTTTATATTTGACAGACTTTCCGAGTGAAATTTAGCCCATGCCTGCCCGCCAAATGAACACATGTATATTATTTATCGCACACAGTGCTGCCGCTCAATTTGACGGTTCTTAAAATATTTGCTAAATGTTTACAAAATTAAAGGCAAAGTCAAGTCCTTAATGTCAAACCTCCCAAGACAACTAATGGAGAACACTTTAACCCTAACCACCCCAACACCATCAAAATCCATCCCCCATTTTGGTGGATTTTGGAGGACTTGGTCCAGAAGGCCTGGCGTGACTAAATATTGATGGAGTATGATGGACTTGGGCCTAATGGCCTGAAGCAGTGCTGGGGGTATCCGATTGATTTTGCCTAGCTTGCTGAACTGCTTTTGTGATAAAAGCCAGTTTAGCAAGTCCAAGAATGTCAACCAGTGCGTCAGTGGTGGATTCCATTATGTCATGTACAGTTTTGTATTGGAAGCACGGTGATTGATGGATTTTGATGGATTTGGTCCAGTTCCTAGTAAAAGACGCCAGGAAGTTAGGGTTATTAATGTTACGGCAGACTCTGTTTTTTTCACTCACCCCAGGCACAATGTCGGCTTTGCCTTCTTCCCTCCACTCAGCCACTTTGGCGTTGATCTGCTCTCTCACCTCGCCTTTAATCTCACCGGTATCGCCTGCAAGAAACAAAACCATTTATTCAACTAGCCTTCTTATGGGAATTCATTACATGGGTCGCTGCTGAGGCCATCAAGAAAAAGAATCACGTTTATTCCTAAAACTCAGCACGTGTTATTTGGGCTGTTCATTGTATGTTTTGTTTTGGTTTCACTCAAAAAGCGGTCTTCATTCAATTGGAAGTACCTTTCAATCAGTGTTCTAGCGCCAGCACCTGCTACGCTTAAATCGCTCTGCTACGCTACCGCCTCACTTTCAATTTCGCTTGCTTTAATACAAAAATTCTGCTTCCGTTTGATTCGCATTAGTTCGGTGACTTGAACATTGCTCACTGGCTGTCCAACACAGCGAGAAGCTTTAAAGTGAACCGCGATCCCATCGTGTGTACCCTGTATGCTATCCTACATAATCATACCGTTATGCCATTAATTACGAACATATGTGTTCTTAACGAAAAGCACGCTCAGTTTTGTGCTGTGTAATGCCAGTGCGATCCAAACGTACGTGTCACACGCAGTGCTCGTTGGATCACATCATTTGCGGTCAAGGGATGTGCTTCGTAAGGGCAATTTGCCAGCATATCCACCGCTTCAAAATCACAAATAACACTTTTATTTTTTGTTGAGTTCGAAATATTTCCTTGTTTGAAAATGAGTGGTACAACATCATCATATAATTTTTCCTAAGAATTTATTCGAGAAAAAATGTAAAACTCTGAACAAAGATTGAAGCACCCCTGAAGATACAAATGGGATCTGTCCATAAAATGTTGGCAACTTGCTGAATTCTTGAGAAGAAAGTCGCGATTCAAAAATTGTGTTTTCGGCGTTACCACTCGTTGCTGATCATAGAAATCTGGTACCTACCCGTAATCAACTTTACAGATTACTCAGTAACTTCTCAGACAATGAAAAAGAAAGGCTTTGAATGCCCTTTGTGGGGAATTTGCAAAATGAAAACCAGGCTACATGGAAAACCAAGACAAATTTTATTATTATTATTTATTATTATTATTTATTATTATTATTAATCATTTCTGGTAATGAAACCAAGGATTCCTCAGAAGCGCCCTAAGCACTGCAGCTCGCAAGCCTGAAGAAACCTGTGGAGAGAAGACAATGAGAAGAATTTACAGTTTCAGAGGTGGGGGGAAAAGCCCAGAAGAATATTCTGGGGAAAACCCACGGAATCAGGCAGGGACTGAAAACCCAATCCACATATTGGCCCAGGCGGGATTCGAACCCGGGTCACAGAGGTGGAAGGCGAGGAAAGTACCGCTGCGTCAACCTGACTCCCCAACCTGACATTGATGTGCATTTTAATGTGCAACAGATGACCCTCACTCACATTGCAGTTTATACTGCAAGCTATAAAGCCCTTCAGACAACTTCCTGGATTTGAATTTGGGGGCTGGGTTTCTTTTATGGGTACCCGGGTACTCGCGTTTTACTTCAATAGGACACCTGATTCCCGTACTACCCATAAATGCACACCACTAATGCTTCTTGACCAACTCAGCCCGGTGCACAAGTGCAGCCCGGTGCACAAGTGAGAGCTATGTGGACTATTGAACGCTCTTGCCCTTGTATATAAGGTGCATATTTGGTTTGTGCACACTTCAAAATAAAACTTGATGTGCATAATTAGGCCATGCACGCACGAAGCAGCCTGTACGTGTTCTACATAACCCCCAAAGACCGACACACAAAGAGAGAACAACAGATCCTTTCAGCCCTCGGGAGTTGTGTCTTTTGTTGGAAACGGTCCTCTGTAGTAAGTTTGTGTGCTTAGTCTATGGGAGAGTGTTATATTACAGGGACAAAGGGAAACACAAAGCATTGTCCTCAAGAGTACAGTAAAACAAGAGTGTGTGCCTTATTCGTGTTCACACAGCATCATCAACCATTCATGCACAGACTCTACTGAGGGTTCCAAAATGTTGGCAGACTAACCAGAGAACAAGGCCAGAAACCCCTGGGTGCGGCTGTTGATGACGTCAATCTCGTGCAGTGTGACGGTGTGGACGACTTCTTTCCTCTTCTGGAGCTCCCCCTCCGGGCACTGGACAAACTTAGTCTGGAAGGAAGAAGAGACAAAAATGTTAAACCTTCATTCCCTTCCAATTAAAGCTACAGTCCATCATTTGTAATTTGTGCATTTTGTTCGTTTGAAGCAAAAAAAGTTTTCAAAATCTATTTTGAATTGGGCCTGAATTCAGTGTCCGAGACACGTTCTTACTGAGCCGATTGCAGCTACACGATGTCGCGCACTGATCCGACGAATTATAGCAACCACGCGCGCGTGTGCATTGTGTCAACGCTTGCGCGCACTTCGCCGAATAAAAAACAAACCACTAATGGAAATTTCCAACGATGCGTCTTTAGACCAGGCATGCAACTGGGAAGTCACAAAAAAAGAGGAAATTCAAATTTTTCCCAGACTTTGTACAGTGTTTTTCTATTTTCAATGGCACACATGGGAAGTAAAAAAAGAGGAAATCAGCAGATCTGAGGAAAAGTTGCATGCCTGTTAGACGCATCGTTAGAAAGGCCTTCTTTCGTTGATTTCTTTAAAATGACACCATGCCAGAAAGAATCATTTCACAGGGAGTTTAGTCCCCTTGCTATCTTTCAACCAAGTATGTTTTTCAACAATAATTATGTCAGTTACTTTTTGGATAGCTGCAAATGATGGACTGTAGCTTTAACGTACGGACCGACAGCCAGTGTGCTTGCAAAGTGGATCCGCTTGTGCCCAATTCAAAACCTTTTTTTCCAGAAGGTTACAGACAAAAAAAGGAGGTGCAAAAGGAGGTTTTTGGTTGGAATAAAACATACATGTTGAAAATGTATTAACCCTAACTCCCTACTGTCTTTTACTAAGTACTGGACCAAGTCCGTCAAAATCCATCAACCACACTGCTTCCAATGCATGCTTTGCTTTAGGCCTCCAGGCCCAAGTCCATCATACTCCATCAATATTAAGTCACACCAGGCCTGCAGGACCAAGTCCCCCAAACTCCACCAAAACGGCGGGATGGATTTTGATGGAGTTGGGGAGGTTAGGGTTAATAGAAAGAACAACTGAATTTGTTGGAGGGCAAGGGAATGCAACTTTAAAATTTGGAATTGATCCAAAGACTATGTACTGTACCTGAGGTCCCATGGCGTCATAGTCCCGTGCTCTTGTGAAGGATCGGCCCAGTTTGGTGATCTTTCCTGTAGCCTTGTCAATTGTCACGATGTCGCTGCAAGAAAACACCAATAACAACATAAAAGGGGCTAGCTAGTTTATAACGGATTGATTTTGTTTAAGCCTAACCGCCTTGAATCCTTCAAAATCCTCTTTGCCAAAGTGAAGGAATTTGGAGGATTGAGGTTAGATGGCAAAAGTGCGTTATTGATTTCGTAGGATGCACTTTGTCAAGGTCTTAGGCCGGACTTTGTGTTGTTTTTTTGACAGTCACTGCCGCAGGATTTTGCAGGATTCAGGCAGTGGTCACCCCTCCACAGACTATATTCAAGAAATAATGGAGGCTATTTTTCCATGAGGCCAACTGGAGGTTTTTGCAAGATTGAGGCTACATTCTAGCTAAAAGGCCTAGGGATTTAGGGTTAATGTAAATTCTTCACCTTGTTATAAATGGGGTATTTTCATATGGCCAGCCAATGTTTGGTGATCTGATGCGTTGTCTGTTCGGGACTTTTCTATGGTGTACGCAGCGCTACGGTATGCTCAACATCTCCTTATATGGAGAACATGTCAGTGGCTCTCAAGCCGGCAGAGCGCGCGGCACATACTGCACACATGTGGCGCGGAACACAGGTGCTCGCGACCGGTTTTAAACACTGAGCAGTGTATAAAACAACCCCCACGACAGGCTCTCGACCAATAGGAATAGGTAAACTGTCTCAGATATTTAGGAATGACATATTTACAGATACGCTTGCTTAATACAACATACTCTCACCAAGCAATTGTTATTTAACACTAGCTCCCTGGGTATTTTTGCTAGGATGCAACCTCAATCCGGCAAAATCCTCCATTATTCCTTGAATTTAGTCCTTGGAGGGGTGACCACTGCCTCAATCCTGCAAAATCCTCTGGTAATCACTGTCAATATGTTGAGGCAGAGCCAGTGACATCCTGGAGCAGTGCGGAGGATTTCAAGTATAATGTAGGCCTAAATTTATGCACGGCTGAGCATAAACAACACAAGATCCGGCCCAAGACCTTGACACAGTGCATCATCCAAAATTGGCTAAACTTTTTGGCCATATATAGCCTCAATCCTGCAAAATCCTCCATTTTGCAAAGAGCATTTTGGAGGATTTGGGAAGGTTAGGGTTAATAAAATATTGTCATTTTTGGTGCCCAGAGAGACATTTGTGATAAGACCACTCACCCCGCCTGCACCTTCTCTTTAGTCAAGCTCTCAATCATCTTGGTGCCCAGGTCATAGATTGTTTCCATCTCGGTGGTCTTGAGAGTCAACTTGCCCACTTTGGCTCCCTGGTTGTACCAAAAAAAAAATGTTCAACATAAGTTTCCATGTTATGGTGTTTTATTAGAGTGTTGTAGTTGAATCCATTGCCAGTCCTCCCAGGTCCGTGGTCGGGTACTCGGGTACCCGGTTCCGATGCACAGCCCTACTAAGCACAGGCAATTTCTGCTCAGCAAGAACGGGTTACCAGCCAAAAAGTCATGCAATCCAAACTGCTCACGACTGGTTCTCTGCGGACTCATGCTTAGCACATGAACTTGCAAGCCAGTCATTCTTGGTTTTGCAGCACTATGAAAATCTGGCCCCGGTTTCCACTGGTAATCAAATTTCGGTGCCGGAAATAAATACCATTTTCCTGCCTTAAATTAGGACTTTTTTTCTGCTTCTCAAGGAAAACAATGATTTGCAAACCTGTCCAGTAGCCGGTCGGTCAATCTGTATCTCCACAACTTCACCTTCAATTATTTCTGTTTCTTCCCTGCAAATAAGTCAAACAAGAAAAGAAAAACATCTCATATAAGTACATTTTAAGATCGCTATTAATCAAAGCTGAAACGCACAAATGAACATTATATAAAATAGAGGAAGTTTTCAGGTGACACCATGTGGAAAGTAATCTCTTCTTGGAAGAAGTCTGGTTCTGAAAAGAACCGGTTGGTTGGGTGTAGAACTCGACCAACCGGTTCTTTTCAGAACCACTCTTCTTCCATAAAAAAAATTCTTTCCACATGGTGTTACCCGAAAATTTCCTCTATTTTATCTTATCCGCCATGCAAAGCTTCAAGTCACATAGAACATTATATAATTGTGGTTCTGAAAAGAACCGGTTGGTCGAGTGCAGCACTCAACCAACTGGTTCTTTTCAGAACCACACTTCTTCCATGAAGAAATTTCTTTCCACATGGTGTTACCCAAAAATTTCCTCTATTTTATCTCATCCGTCATGCAAAGCTTCAAGTCACATAGAACATTATATAATTACTACATAAGCATTTCAACTCTGTCTCTATTGTGCTCGCACGTTATATTACAACACTTTATTCAAAGTTTTGTCTCTTCTGGTTTCAATGTTCTGCAGACATAAATTGAAGATGTCTCAACTCGGGAATTAAAGAGGAACAAGGAGGTTGCGCAGAGGTTATGCAGTTCAGCTTTATGCTTGCTTCAGTAAACTACCGGGCATCCCCAAAAACATAAACCCTGAAAACGCTCTCTTTTTCACAGCTTTTTAAAAAAAACATCGCAAATATCAACACTTATTGGGAGAGTATAGTTCTTTAGCTTTTCAACTTCCAATCAGGTAAATATTTACTGAGTTATGGCCAATTAAAAAAAATTGCTGATATGTTTTTTCATTTTGTCCTCGGTCGTAATTTTCATAGTATAAGGAATGTAATGGATTTAAGGTGAGGGTAGTTTTGCTTTATCTTTCTTTCTTTATTTGGTTCTTTTTTTATTTTTCGGTTTTTTTTGCAACAATGGTCATTTCTCCTCTTGGAAGAAATGGTAGTCAATGCAAATTTCGGCCCGTGTTCTTATTGCGGCAGTCAAATACCAGTTGCCGTGGTGAAAATGGAAAAGCCACACTTGTTTTTGATTGGCCATAACTCAATTAGTATTTACCCAATTGGAAATATTTTTTTCATTGTTGAAAAGCTAATGAATTATACTCTCGAAAACGTATCTATATTTGCTATATGGGAAAGATTTCCATATAAGAAGTTCACTCAACACCCTGTGTACAAACCCTATGAGATTGGACTGAAAAATTCTAAGTGTTTTCTAAGAAAATGCTTGTATTTTCTCACTGCTCAAATTGACTTTGATGACATGAAATTGCTATCTGGGGGCTTGTTAGTCAATACAGAGGAAAATTAGTGAACTTCGTATATGGAAATCTTTCCGCTATATGTTTTTTGAAAACAGTGAAAAAGAGGGCACTTTGAGGGGTTTTTTTTGGGGGGGGACACCCTGTAGTTTTACCACTCAGATGAATGACAGTCCAAAACAATCTTACTTGATCCTGATGCCGATGGACCTCCTGAATGCCTGGGTCAGGGCCTCTGTCTTGCTCATCTCCAGGGAGAAGATTTCACTGCCGGCAATCGCCGTGAAGGGCGTGTCTTGCCCCAGACTCTGTGCCATACCTGGGCACGAATGTATACAAAATTCTTATGTATTCAAAAATATTCTTGCACTTCATTGTGCACTTCACTTCAATATTCATTCAAATATTCTTGAATTTCATGCTGCACCAATTCGGGCGATTCACACTGCAGTGCGCCACCAAGAGTTTCCCATGGAGAGTCTATTTGTCAAGTTTTCAGTCGACAAAACATGGCCCATTTGAATGAGTGTCAGCAGACAACTTGAGCTAATTTGTTACAGATTGGGGCATAGCGTTCTGCCGCCTTACAAAAAAAACACCAAATTGATAAAAGAAAAAGGGCAAACATTTCGAATTTCCACGGCTGGGATATTTTGTGATTTCAGTCATCCCCCATCCCTCCCAGTCCCCGGCACAGATTTACGCCACTGCAAATGTTGGACTTTTTATAAAATTACGTTACACCAAAACATCGACTACACGGAGGGATTAAGTATTAAACAATGAAAATGGAAGGTTAATTGTAGGAGGATGTATGAGGAAAGACAAACGCAAAGCAGCTTCTCCTAAAATTCTTGGCAAAATCTTGTTAACAGGCTTTATTGTGAATTGCTCCAAGTTGCAGCAGAATCGCAGGGAAAAAGGTTAAAGATTTAAATGAATTCAACTCAAGATATTCCTACCCATAGCAATGGCCGTTTTCCCCGTTCCTGGTTGCCCTGCGATCAAGACGGCCCTGCCAGCGATTTTGCCCTCCTGCAGAGAGAAATAAAGACAAACAGTCACTATTTTGCGCCTCGGGCCAATGGATACGGTGTTTGACTCACATGCCATGGCACGTGGGTTCCAATCCTGACGGGGAAAATGGTGCTTGTGTTCTTGGGCAAGACACTTTACTACAATTGCCTCTCTCCACCCAGGAGTATAAATGGGTACCTGTGAAGGTAGAGACCACAATGCGCTGATCTCAAGCTGCTGCAAAAACTGGTCTCATGGCCTGATGAACAGGGGTAATGAGTGAGAAGCGCTTTGAGACCTTTGGTATAAGCACCACATTATTATTATTTTTATAGATCCAACAGCACGCAGTTTCTGTTCAGGGACGATATTGTGAATTTTATAAAGGTCTAAAAATTGGATGAAAGGTCCGAAAGATGCATTGCTTTCTTTACTGATGATGGTCTCAGATTCAGGGTCTGATTCTACAGGTAGAGTAGACCATTTGCAGCCATCCAGTAACTGACCAAATTATTGTTAAAAATGTTACTTGGATTAGAGACAGTAATGGCTCTAAATTCCCTGTGAACTAGTCCTTCTTGCATGCTGTCATTTTGACGAAAACAATAAAAGGTCATTTCCAAAGATGTGTCAAGTGACATATTTTTGGAGATTTCCGTTAATAGTAGGTTTGTAGTTGGGCGAATCCGTGAATGGATTCGCGCAAGTGTTGACACGACTCACACGCGCGCGGTTGCTATTATTCGTTGGTTCAGTGCGTGACATCGCGCAGCTGCAATCGGCTGAATGAGAACATGTCCCGGATGCTGATTTCAGCTGCAATTCAAAGCATGACTCGGCAACTTTTGAATTGAAATCAAGATCCGAGAATATTGTTTTCTCGGAACACACAGCATTCACTGAGCTAAAGGTTCATCAGGTTAGTTGTTCAGCACCCGTCTTTAGATTTTGAGCACTTTTGTTGCTTCAAACGAAACAAATGCACAAACAACACATGATGTACTCTACTTTTAAGTTTGAAATTATCTGTTGCAACTTATTGATTTGTGCATCTAACATACACCTAGACTGTGCTTCGTTGCCCTCTATATCTAAAATTAATTTCCCTGGAAATAGTGTTAAAAACCAGAACAAAACTGCTTGTATTTTCAGACCGCTGGATGGGGGGAGGGGGAGGGGGGGAGAAGGGGCATAGGGGAATAATCTTGATACAGTCTAGGGCCGAGGCTAGGTGAGTCTCTTGTCCTACCTTGATCATCTCCAGGATAACTCCAGCTGCTCGTCGGGCCTCCACCTGCCCCACCATGCCCTGGGAGACTTTGCGGGCGTCCAAGGCGTCATCCAACCCCAGCCCTCGGATGTGGGAGTGAGCACCGATGCGCTCCATCCGTGTCACTTCCCGCACCTCCGCCACTTTTTGTGCTGTTGACTTTTATGAGCAAAAAGAAAAACCCATTAATCATGGTATTCCACTCATGCTGATGCGTCCAGTGTTTCAGTCAATTGTTTTGGTCCGTTACAGGGAACTAAAGGCCTTTTCCAACTAGACAAATCTCGGGGTTGAAAACATGCGGCACTTCACTCTTCAAGATTTTCCACCCTGCGTCAACCCTGAGAGTGATTTCGCGAAGGGCACTCCTCATGTCCGGATCATAAGTGCGATACCAAATTATCCGCAGCGTTTATCACGAGGCCTCGTGATTGGCCCGTCTGACTCTGCCTGCGATATTCACTATAGACGGTGTCTGTGGTCGATTCCCAGACCAAAACTTGAAAAGACTCTGATGTCACGCCAACAACGCTTTGCGTGCACGTTAAAACTCAAACTGTAGCTTCGGTACGGAAAGGGGACTGTTTTCGGAAAAAAATTCCATACTGGGTCACCACTTACCTGCCGCCAAACACATCAATTTTCACCTCACTTTGTGATTTCAACCAAGATGAATCCAGGAAGCCTTGCAAATGCGATTTATTTTTTAGGAAAAATGTGTTTTTAGAGCTCATTTTGGATGCACACGTCGTGCAGGATTAAGTTGGAGGGGTCCTACTAAAATGCGTCAACAAACGTCAACAAGCATCAACAAATTTTGTATATGCTTTTGAACATTAAAAGTAGCTTTATATGGTAGAAAAAGCAATAAAGAACATCTTCTGCATATTAAATAAAGTTAAAATTATTTAAAAACTTGTTTTTTGAACGCGAAATGTACGACGAGTTTGTCGATTAGTGTTGGCCGCTATTTTGTTTGGATGGCGCTGTACACTTCTCGCATGCGTAGTATGGCTCTGTACACATTACGCGTGCGTAGTACGGCTAGTTTCACTTAAACAAAATGGTGGCCAACACAAACTGGACAGAATCGTCAGAAACTTTTGAAATAGTTTTTACTTTAATTTATATGCTGAAGGTGTTCTTTGTTGCCATTTCCACCAAATAAAGCTGTTTTTGATTTTTCAAAACTTCTACAAAATTTGTTGACGCTGGGTTGACAACCATTAAAATTTGTTGACGCCAGTTGACGCTTGTTGACGCATTTTAGTACTAGGACCGAAGACAACGAAGACTGAAAACCGGGCTTCACATCTTAGAAACCCTACCATTCAACAAGAACTGTTACCAGTATTCATTCTACCCCCGGACAACTAGTGAATGGAACATCCTCCCACCAGACGGTAGAGCTCAACCTGACATCAAATCTTTCAAAGAGAAACTGGTTCAAATAAATATGGATGAGCTGGTCAAAAAGCTCATTACAAAATGTATTCACCTCCACCACACTGACCTATGCGTTATAACCACCATCTGGTGGTCCTACTAAACTGCGTGAACAAGCGTCAACGGTCGTCAACAAGCATCAACAAATTTTGTATAAGTTTTGGAACATCACAAGACGTTTTTTGTGGTAGAAATAGTGACAAAGGACACATTCAGCATATAAAATAAAGTTAAAATTATTTAAAAACTTGTTTTTTTGAATGCGAAATGCACGAGTTTGTCAAGTTTGGGGTGGACGCCAGTTTGTTTACGTGAAGCTAGCCGTACTACGCATGCGTGAAGTGTACAGAGCCATACTACACATGCGCGCAGTGTACAGCGCCATCCAAACAAGATGGCGGCCAACATTAATTGGCAAACTCGTCGTACATTTTGCGTTCATCATAAAACAAGTTTTTAAATAATTTTAAGTTTAATTGATATGCAGAAGATGTTCTTTATTGCTTTTTTTTACCATATAATTTATAAAGATACTTTTAATGTTCAAAAGCATATACAAAATTTGCTGATGCTTGTTGACGACCGTTGACGCTTGTTGACGGTTGTTGACGCAGTTTAGTAGGACCCGCTTGCATAATCAGCAGAAGCAGAAGAAACGAACAACATGACGAACGTGATGCATCATGCACGATAAACTGCTTCCTTGACAACGCAAAAAATCCATTTGTTCCCGTTCAAACACAAGCCTACTAGAGTCATAAAGCGTATCTGTAATTCATAAAACAACAATGTCATACATTTACTTTATTTCTGTGTTTTTAAAATAAAAAACAAACCACAATCTACAAGAAATTTCCAACGGATCTCTCCAAGACCGCCAACTTACCGCCGCCATTTTGCACGTGTATACTCCGGTATCGGCCGTAGGAGGGCGCTACAACAGATGTACGGATATTGTTGTACACCGTACCGAAACACATCGCACATTATATTCCTTTTTTTTTTATTTATATGTTATGTGTTACTAGAATTAAACCAACTGGTTCTTATCAGAACCCTACAACTCACAATTACAAGGAGATATCATTCACATGGTTTTCCCGCAAACCTCCCAGTCATTGATGGCACACATTATTTTATAATATTGAATATTGAAACGCTTGGCTCGCCATATTGCAGTAATAAAATATTCATGACTCACTATCAGATCAAAAGGCCAGGAAGCTCACTATTCATAAGCTAATAAAACACCATCGTAGTCAACATACCTTCGATAGCTCAGTTGGTAGAGCGGTGGACTGTAGTAAATAAACACCTAGAAATCCATAGGTCACTGGTTCGAATCCGGTTCGAAGGAGTGGGTAGTTTTTTTTTGGGCCCCAAAATTTATTGATTTATCTCTTCTCATCTTGGACAAACATTAGAAAAAGCAGATTTCTCGACAATTTTTGTTTTCTTTTGTATTTTCTAGTTTAATATTGGGTAATGGGCTTTCACAGTGACAATTGTGAATAGTTTTCGAAAAAAAACCTCAGTTTTCATCTTACAAACTTTCAAAATATGAAATCTTGAGGAATAGAAAATACTTGTGCAAATAACATTGAATATATCAGTATTAAAAGTCAGCATCAGGCCAACTCCTTTTCTATTTTTAATTTTTTTTAACCCAAACAGTCCAAATCCTTTTTAATTGGATTTTTTTTACACACCCTAGGAAATTTTAATAAGCCAAAATCCTGTTTCAATAAATAGGGGACTTGGGAATTAAGGGGTTATTAAATTTTGTGTAATAACATTTTATTACATTTTGTGCAATTTTGTGAAACAGAATTCCATACACAGGGGCGGATCCAGGAATTTTCCTAGAACCAATATTTTTGGGGGGCTAGCACGGTGGATCCAGAAGTTTTTCAGGGAGGCGCGCTGAAATGTAGACCGGTTATTTTTTCCAGACACTTAGGCCTCCGAAAATCAATAAGTGGGAGGGAGGGGGGGGGGGGGGTTGGCTCATGCCATATTTTCAATGGGGAGCGCAAATAAAATCCTAAAATCATTCAAACTATATTGACTAATGCACCCTTGTCACGGCTATTTCTTCTTTAGGGGGAGACCGTTCGCATGTACATCACAATCATTCTTTTTGCTAATGCAATTTTTTTTTTAACGGAATTTATTTTGGGGGGCTAGACAACATTTTGGGAGGCTATAGCCCCCCCTAGCCCCCCCCCCCCCCCGAAGAACCACGCCTGGGGGGGGGGGGGGGGGTTCAGCAGCAAAAAATTCTGAAAATGTACACAGGTTTTGTTCTCGGACACTTGGCCTCCGTAAAATCAAAAACTGGGGGGGGGTGGGGGGGGGGGGCCTCGTACCATATTTCAATGGGGGGCGCTGTTCAAATTCGATGATTATTAACACTAGATTACAGAATGGTGTACCGTATTTTGAACAGGCAAACATTATACCAGTATAATTTTTTTGGGGTGTCACAGCAGGGGGGGGGGGGGGGGGTTCGACTTATGGGAACTTGTATGGGAACATTTTTTGGGGGACAAAGCTGTTTTTTAGGACCCCCCCCCCCCTCTGGATCCGCGCCTGATACATGGACATTTACCTATCAGCCATCAGAAACAGTCAAATTTAGCAGGGAAAATAGTGAAGCATTTATTTAGAAGAAAAAAAGATTTTTTTTTTTTGGAAGAGGCTCATAGGATTTGTACACAGGGTGTCAAGTGATGTCCAGGTATGGAATTCGGACCATTTTGTGTAACTTCAATTTTATTTAGTTTTTCAAAGAACTTATAGGGAGGGGGGTGTTGGGTTATTATATTCAGTGAAAGATGAATAATATCTGGCAACCACGGTGACCGTAAGGACAGAGCCAAATTCTGCTAAAGCGGCGCATCAAAAATCTGTCCGATTTATCACAAATCTGCCAAATTCTCCAGAATTACTCAAAATACATTAATAATATTCAAATTTCATAATAAACAAACTAGTCACATTAAGATGTTGTGAAATTATTGGTGAATTTTGGGCAAAACGCGGATCCGGCCACGACGAAGTTCGTTCCCCAGTGAACCTCAGCACCTAGACCAGCCATCCTGTCCCATTATGCAAGGGTTTGTTTGAAAGGATTGAAGCTTTTTTAAACAATATGTTCACTTTTTTGTTCAAATTTGCTGTTTTTCTGTCAAATAACCATTATTGCAGTATTTTGCCAGAAATCTGCCCAAAAAAATCCATTCTGTCAAATTTTCTGTCAAATTCGTTTTTTTAACAAAAGTTCTGTCAAAGTTAACCGAAAATCGGCAAAAACGGTCACCCTGCTGGCAACAAGGGAAGAAACCACATGAAAAATGAACTTCTTTTTACAACACCAAAATCATTTGCAACAAAATGTTTCATTCCGGCAAGAATGGAATAAAACAAACCATTTATTTTCCTGCGATCCATATATAAGGATATAATTATACTGTACTAGAACATTGTTTATTCCTTTAAATAAAAAAAATCAACATTATTTCCCCAAGAAATACAAAGCTATATAGTAACTGTTCAAAAGGCGCAATTGGAAGAGAAAATGACATAAATTTTGAAGAGTTTTATTTGCAAAATGCGAAATATCCATTTGAAAAAAAAGTGAGTTGCACTGTTATGAAACTTTAATGAAAAAAGCAATATCAGACCCGTTTCTAAACTTCATTTTTCGCTTTATTCTATTCTATTTCTTAAATTGTGTTTAACTACAAATGTATATAACAGCAGTCAAAACTGATTTTGGTCTACCAGACGAGAGAGCAGGACTCCAAAATGAAACAAAATGGCGTTAATTGCGTTTTGAAAATTAAACTCTTCGTTTCTATCAAGGCACAAACAATCAATGGAAATTAATATTAATTTCAATAATATATTCTATTTTCAAATCATTCATTGCCTAATTACTTCAAGTAGGTTAAAAGAAGACTTCTCTGATTTGTATTGCTTTAATTTAACACCACTCATTCTGCTTCGTGGATGCAAGTTAAATTGGCACATTTGGCATCGAAGCAATGAAGAGCTGATGATGGTGGTGTCCCCAAGCAGGGTACTTTACCACAATTTCTCTCATTTTCATGAGCAAACAGAGTCTTCCATTCAGAAAGCCGTAGGGCTAAATAGTGTCATCAACATTAAAACATTTTGTGGGCTTTGATTTCAAGAGATTCAAAACAACATTCAAAATTTAAACCTTTTAAAATAAATTGTAGTGAAAATGCCAAACTTTTTCATTTGTTTACACACAAAGTCATGAGTTTGGAAAAACTACCAACATCAAACTGTTTTGCGAAAGGGCAATGCGGTTTACAAAGTCAGTTCTTACATTAACTTCAATATCTATGATGATGCCAAACTTAAAGCCAAAGTTTGCAACTCACAATTTAACAGCAGGCCGTTATTTTTTGACTATTTATTACGGAAGACAATAAAAAGGGGAAATCTTTGGTAGTTTTCTTAATTTTTTTCAGTAGGATGCATAGTCCGAGTAGCAGATGTTCACGTGTGCAGAGCCGCACTACAAATGTCTGATATATCCCTGCATGTAAATTTTATGCAACTCCACGCACCAGCCAATCAGTGCCAACTTTAGAAGTTGTGACTAGGGCTGTGCATTCAGGGGCGGATCCAGCACACAATTTTTTAAGGGGGGGGGGGGCCTAAAAAAAATTTGGTCCCCCAAAGAGTGGGTCCAAAAAATTACAAGGGGTTCAGGGCCCGCTTAAGGTTTCTAGATTTGGGGGGGGGGGGGGGGGGGGGGGGGCGTGCCAAACCTGAATTACAATTCAAATTTCTTTATCAATAGCAAACTAAAAATATAACGCAAAACCAGCAAAATTGACTGGTTCTCATAGCCTTGGTCAAGGCATTTGACGATAGTGTCCGATGATTGCTGGATAGCCACTAAGTAACATAAAACAGTAGCTGCGCGCTATGCGCGCTATGCACTCACAGTCACACATACTACTCATAGACGTAATGGCACTACTGTACAAAGCGGGAACAGCGATCTCACACGGCTACGCTACAATATGCAAATCAGTTGTTGCTGGTCGAACATCTCGGAACAACCGTTCGACTTGGCTTATGTTTTTATTTTATTTTGTTGCTGGATTTCCAGCGACGATCTCGTATGCGAATAGAGATGAGTTTACTATTCAGTACTCGGTAGTGGAGGCTTACAGTTTACATGGACAGAGAGCTGGACAGTGTGGCTACATTCTCCAACAAGTTTAGAGCTTGCAGACCATATATCACCCGATATAAATCCAGCTACAAAATGACGGAAATTGCTTGAAAACAATAGGCCAAACCGTTAGGCCAAACCGTTGGTCCAAGGCGTTCGACCAGTACCAACCCAATTTGCATATCATAGCCTAACCGCATGAAGTCATGCTTCGTACAGTATGTGTGAATGCATAGCACATGGTTCACGCTCTTTTTTTTATGTTAGTGGCCGAATTTCGATCATCTGACACTATCGTCGAAAGCCTTGACCAAGGCTATGGTTTTCATTGATGGTCTTCAACACTATCACTTTTTAGAAGATTTAAAAACTTTACTTCATAATTACAGCAGCGATTTTTAGAAAAAGTACTTAATGGCACATTATATAAATTAAAAGGTAAAAAAAACCCAAAAAATCCCACAAACCACCAAACCCTTGATGTCGCATTAATTAAAAAAGTACAAACTCAGTTCCTCCACCGCACAATAGTACTGAAATTATCCACTCCTTAAAAGTAATATACAACATTTGCAAACATTAAAAAACAAAAGTACCAAATTATTATAAAATACCCTACTTGACTTTAAGTGAATAACAGTCTAAAGCATGACCGGTGAAATCATGGTACCTGATGCGCTGTCATTTTCAAGAAAAGTGGAGTTATCAATATCCAATGATAGTTGGCCGACCATCATTGAAAAAAAAACCAAACTCTTTTCAAATACTTCTCCCCAATTTAGTTAGTCCACATTTTGTTTGCAATTGGTTACACATCATGATCCATAAACGGGTGCAAGCCAGCTAGTCTGGTTCCCTGACCTGACAATTCCCCGACGTCTATACATTGCTCTGTTTTGTCTGAAGTAGGTTAAGGGAACCAGACTACAGAAACAGCATTTTATTCTTGGTTTTTCAGCATCAATGAAAACAAAACTTTTAACAAATCACTGAACAAAATTTGCTCTAAAATACTAACCCCTAAATCCATCCATTTCTGAAAGTTACAGCAAAATCAAATGTTGTATATTACCTATAATTAATGCCAGTTGTTCCTTTTTGTCAGTTCTGAAGTCATTATTAAATTCACATCATCCAACCCCAAATATCAATCAAAAGTTAGCCTCAAACACCGTCAATCTAAATGTATGAACATTTAAGTAAAATTCCCACGTAACATTTTTTTTCCCAAGAATTAATTAGTGCTTTATCATTTTATTTCAATAATATTTTTACGCAATAATTGCTGCAAAACCCTGTTTTAGTAAAGATTAAGTTCTTGACAGTATTGATATAAATTATTTTCATATATTTGCATCGATGCTGGGAAATTACCTCAGATTGCAATTGCAAACAGAATTTAAAAAATCTTAATACAAAATTTGTTTTTTATCTTACATACCAAAAGGAAAGTGCAAAACAGGTTGATTATTAACCCTAACCTTCCCAAATCCTCCAAAATCCTCTTTGCAAAATGGAGAAATCTGCAGGATTGAGGCTATATGGCAAAAACGTGTGACTGATTTTGGTGGATGCACTGTGTCAAGGTCTTGAGCCGGACCGCATGTTGTTTATGCTCAGCTGTGCATAAATTTAGGCCTAGATTTTACTTGAAATCCTCCGCACTGCTCCAGGATGTCACTGGCTCTGCCTCAACATATCGACAGTGACTGCTGGAGGATTTTGCAGGATTGAGGCAGTGGTCACCCCTCCAATGACCACATTCAAGAAATAACAGATGATTTTGGAGGATTGAGGCTGTATGCAATTTTTACATGGAGGCAGTTGGAGGATTTTGCAGGATTAAGGTTATAGCCTAGGAAGTTAGAATTAACTTACATGTACATTGCCAATTACAAATAAACCTAGTACTTCTACTTCCCCCAAAAATGCGCAAGGTTAGGGCTTGCATTGTTGATAAAAAAACTTGTTCGATTGACCCTAACTCCCTCTTTACTCTTACTAAGTAGAGGACCATGTCCCTCAAAATCCATCACTCGTTCTGCTTCAAATAATGCTTCAGGATCAAATCCGTTGAAATCCACCAGTGGTGCTGGTGGATTTTGATGGACTCAGTACCCATGGCATATCTGACAAAATCCCACAAACTTAGGGATGGATTTTGATGGAGTTGTTAAGGTTATAGGGTTAACATTGTCCATTATAAAAAGAAATGGTACAGGAACTGCATAGAAATAGATATGGTCTCTTAAATTTGCGTACTGAAATATTGTTGGGATTTAAACCTATTTCAAGGAAATAAATCCTCTAATTTATCTATAAATTTTATTTACAAATTACGTACTGCTCTGCGTAGTATCAGAAGTGTTCTCAATACCATTACTGGTTCCCTGGTTCCCACTTTCACCGGCTCCAACGTTTTGGATGACGTTAGCACTGCTCTCCCGGTTCCCACTTTCACCGGCTCCCAACTCAAAGTGCACCTGCTTGTGTGGCATGTTCGCCCGCTGGTTCTTCGCCCTGCGTTGCGACTTCCGCCTTTCGGTCGCAAGGCGGTTTTCCTCTTCGGTCGGGAGGGCGCTCTCCGGCATGTACGTCCCCGTCACCAGCATCCCGACGGCGTCGTTGATAAACGCCGGCAGGTGATTGGCTATCCAGTCCAGAATGATGGCTGGTACTCCGCACAGGTAGTGCGCCCTGGGGCTTTTGGCAAAGAGGGCGTGCGCGACTGCTGTGGATACCGGTGAGAAATCCTCCATGAGTCGGATGTCGTCCGACGTATACATGGCGCTCAACGCCGTGTTGAAGTAGCGCTTGCCATAGTCGTCGGCTATCCTCGGATCCAGGGCTGCCAGGAGTTGCTGGTACCTTGTTATGAACTGGGTACCAACTACAGCTTCTATAAACAAACAACAATTCAATCAAAATATGGCGTTAAAGACAGTGTATCTTCTTATATGAACAGAGTTTTCCTTAAAGGGAATGTACATCATTGGCTTTTGCTGTAATTTTCGGAAATGAACTATTCAAGGGGCTAGTATAATAGATCAAATATTGTTACACTGACATTTGTGAAGTTTTGTGTTCGAAAAGGTTGGAAAAACCAAGACTTTTTTTTTCAAGTAGTCTGGTTCCCTGACTCCACAAAAGATAAAATGGATCAATTTATAGATGATGGAAAATTGTAAGGCAAGGGAACCAGTCTAGCTGGCCTGCACCCGTTCATGAACATGTAACCAATAGCAAACAAAATTTGGACTGAAAAAATGGTAAATTTGGAGCAGTAGTTGAAACATAGTTAGGTTTTTCCAATGCTGGTCGGCCGACCACCGTTGGAAATGTATACAAAAATATCATTTTCTCGAAAACGACTTCACACCAGGTGCCATAATTTTACACGATGCTTGAGACTGTCATTTACCAACATCCTAGTAAGGTATTTCATAAAAACTTGGTAGTTTTATTTTTCGATGTTTGCAAATGTTGTATATTCCCTTTAAAAGCCATTTTCATGCACTCATATTGAATTTTCTGAAATCTGCCACTACTCGGGAAGTTTACATTTTCCATGAAGTTGCACATATATTTTTACCAGTAAATTGTTGCCGTAAAAGAGAAATACAACATTTGCTTTTGCTGCAATTTTCAGAAATGGATGGATTTGGGAGGGGGGGGGGGTGGTATTTTAAAGCAATTATTGTAACACTGACTTGTTTGAAGTTTGTGTTCGTAGATGCTGGAAAATCTAAGAAAAACAATCATGTTCCTGTAGTCTGGTTCCCTGACCCCCCTTAAGACAAACGGAGCAATTTCCAGACTTCAGGGGATTGTAAGGTCAGGGAATTGGGGGCAGTATTTGGGGGGGAAAAGCCATTTTTTTTTCAACGCTGGTCGGCCAACCAGCATTGGAAATTGATACAAAAATACCACTTTTCTTGAAAATGTCAGCACACCAGGTGCCAGGATTTTACAGAATGCTTCAGACTGTCACTCACTAATTTGGTAGTTTTGTGTTTTGATGTTTGCAAATGTTGTACATTCCCTTTAAATACTTTCTCTACTGAGTACATGTACTTCATGCTTAGAATTTAGGCAAAAACCTGACAGTGAAAACCCAAAACATCATTTTGGACACGAGAAACCTCCTGGTATGCAGCAAGCTTTTCACCGAAATTTTGTGCAATTTCACTCGTCCTTGCCGCAAGGCTAAATTCCACCCTCTATTTATTCTAATAATAATAATAATAACAGGCATTTATATAGCGCTTTTAAACGGGGTATCAAAGTGCTTTACAATTATTATGACCCCTGTTCAACAGGCAAACACTCCTGAAACCTTCTCAACTCCCTGGGAAGCATACACGGCTGGTAGGCAACCATTTCAGCACTCTTGGCCGGATAATCAACCTCTCACAGTAACCAACTCTGTCCTCACAGGTACCCATCTACTCCTGGGTGGAGAGAAGCAATGAGTGACAAAGCACCTTGCTCAAGGGCACACGCATCATGACCCGGGCTGGACTTGAACCCACAACCTGCAGAATTACCCACAGACCACAAATTCAATGCTCCAGACCACGAAGCCACCGGCACTCCACACTTTGAGGCAGACTTACGTGTCTTGAAGCCGCCAGGTTGTATGATAGAAACGCTGATGCCCCATTTCTTCAGCTCCATCCGGAGGACATTAGAGAACCCCAAGGCTGCTGATTTGGAACTGCAGTAAGCTGGGAAACTTGGCGTTGCTAATTTATCTAAAAATACAAGAGAATAACAAAAATGGAAAATCGATCAAAACTGGGTAACTGTTTGCACACATCTTACATAGGAAAGACCCTGCATGCTGGCCTCTCCATACTCGGCGTGGAAGCATCCTGCAAATTTGCGAAAGTGGTGCGTATTTAAACTCCAACAAATTGTGTCGCAAATCCTCCACAAAGTCAAAGCTGTTTTGCATTTATATACCCATGAAGTATGAACCAATGCAGCAAGAGAATCTATCTTTTAAAGCCAGAGTCCATTATTTGCAGCTATCCCAAAAGTAACTGGCGTAATTATTGTTGAAAAACATACTTGGTTGAAAGATAGTAAGGGGACTAAACTCCCTGTGAAATTATTCTTTCTGGCAAGCTGTCATTTTGAAGGAATCAACGAAAGAAGGCCTTTCCAACGGTGCCTCTTAAGAAGCACCGTTGAAAAATTTCCGTTAGTAGTTCGTTTTTTATTCGTTGACACGACGCACACGCGCGTGCAGTTGCTATAATTCGTCGGATCGGTGCGTAACATCGCGTAGCTGCAATCGGCTCAGTGAAAACGTGTCTCGGACGCTGACTAAGCCATTTGCGAGTAACCTATACCCTTTGGGATTTGCATTTGAAAAACGTCTGGTACAATGACTTGCTCAGAATGCTTGGCACATTTTAACTTTGAATTCTCCAGACCAAAGACACTGTTGCTAATCACAAGATTCGGGGCAAGCTCTTGCATAGTTACGTAAGAGACGTTCAGCATCAATACATCGTTCGCAATGGGTGAGAATGGCACAAAGACACCAGACCATGCCGGAGCTGGGGGTTGCTAGCATAAGGCTTGCCCCGAATCACGTGATATAGTAACAGTCTCTTTGGTCGGGAGAATGCTAGGTTAAAACGTGCAAAGCATTGTATTAAGTCAGCGTTCCAGATTTTATTCAAATTTAACTCGCAAATGGCTTATTCAGGCCCAATTCAAAACATGATTCAGCAACTTTTGATTTGAAATCGAGATCCTAGAATGTTATTTTCTCGAAATATACAGCTGAAGCCGAGCTGAAACTTCATCAGGTTAGTTGTTCAGCACCCTTCTTTAGATTTTGAGCACTTTTGTTGCTTCAAACGAACAAAATGCACAAATTACAAATGATGGACTATACCTTTAAATACATAATTTACCTACAAAATTATTATCAAAAGCATATTTGGATTAAATATTGTACTGGTACTACGTGTAAACACCCCATCAATTTATTTTTCTGGTTTGCTGTCATTAAGAAGAAATCAAGAAATGTACATGTTGGTGATTTGCAACGATCAGTCAATTGACTCATTTTTGGAAATAAAAGAGTGCTACCGGTACATGTTGGGATGAAACTGTGTTTTGTGATCAAAAAGTTGTGCATGGTTTTTCACTACTTTCTCGAAAAGTGTAATATCCACTGAGCTGAAATTTCAACAGGTTAAGTTTGAACATTCTTCTTGGGATTTTGAGTGTTGTTACTATTGGCAAAAAACACAATGCATGAAAAGCAAATGATCCGATATGCCTTAAAGCTACAGTCCATCATTTGTAATTTGTGCATTTTGTTCGTTTGAAGCAACAAAAGAGTTCAAAATCTAATGAAGGATACTGAGCAACTAACCTGATGAAGTTTCAGCTAAGCTTCAGCTGTACATTCCGAGAAAAACAGCATTCCAAGATCTCAATTTCAAATCCAAAGTTACTGAATCATGTTTTGAATTGTTTTGAATTGCAGCTATACGCGACGTCGCGCACTGATCCGACGAATTATAACAACCGCGCGCGCGTGTGCGTCGTTCCAATACTTGTGCGCGCTGCGCTGAATAACAAAACGAACTACTAATTTAAATTTTCCTACTGTGCTTCTTAAGAATCACCGTTGGAAATGCCTTCTTTCGTTGATTACTTCAAAATGACAGCTTCCCAGAAAGAATAATTTCACAGGAAGTTTAGTCCCCTTACTATTTTTCAACCAAGTTTGTTTATCAACAATAATTACGCCAGTTACTTTTCGGATGGCTGCAAATGATGGACCATACCTTTAAGTGTTTATCTTATTTGAATATTGATTTATTGAACTCACCACACATGCTGGTCACGTTCACAATTCTACCCCTGGACTTGCGCAGCAACGGCAAGAATGTCTTGACCATGCGGAAGTGACCCAAGCAATTGACATCCCACATCTTCTTGAAAGCGTCCACTGTCGTGATCTCTGCCTCGGCATATAAGCACACGCCTGCGTTGTTGACGACACCCCATAATTCTGAGAATGTTAGGGGAAGGAAAAACAAAACAGTGTTTAATTCCAACCCTCAATCCTAGGGTACCGGTACATGTAGGGTAAGGCAAAACAGCTCAAATCAATCACAGTGAGCATCTCTACCATCACTGGTGTCCATTTTTTCCTGGGTAGCAAAGCAGCACAGTCTGTCACAAGCCAATTATCCCATCAGGCTGGCATTTATCTCCAGTTTCAGTGTGGCACGTGTGGTCTAGCGGTGGAGCACAGGATTCATGATCGTGAGGTTGTGGGTTCGAGCCCCACAGTGGCCATGCGTGTTGTGCCCTTGAGTAAGGCGCTTTACCTCAATTACTCCTCTCAACCAAGGTGTTAAATGGGTACCGGCATTATTCAATGCTGGGAAGGTAACAGACTCGCTGTTGAGGAGGTGTGGCGATCCCCCCACAGCAGCATATGAGTCTGGCCCAATCACTAAACGAAGGAGAGATGGGCACTCTGTTCCTGTGAACACAGGTTCGTCCCTTTACTCTTTTTTCAGTGTGGCATGAAACAAATGAGAATATTTCTATTCCCACTGGATGCAGTGCCAGTCCACCAGGTAGCTCCCCAGCTAATGCCGGTACTCAGTCGTACTCCAGGGTGGAGAGAGGCAAGTGGGGTGAAATGGCTTGCCCAAGGACACAACATATGACCAGTAGCTGGATTCGAACCCCTGACCATCCGATCGCGAGTCACGAACCCCAACCACTAGGCCAAAGCCCCCACCTCCTGGGTGGGGAGAAGCAATCAATGACAAAGTGCCTTGCCCAAGGACACACTCACCCCAAAACCTCAGGCTGGACTCGAACCCACAACCCACAGAATTACCGACAGATCTTGAGTTCAAGACCACGACATTCCACACTCTTCACATTTCTCTTACCTCGCCCGTCCAATAAATCTTTGACAATCTCCAACGCTTCCTGTATTTGATCCTGGTCGGTCACGTCCAGCTCAATCGTCATCAGTCGGCTGGAGCTGTTAGCGACGAGGTCCCGCTCCCCGGCGCCATTTTTGTCGTAGCAACAGGCAAGGACATGAGCGCCCAGACTGTCCAGGTACAACGCTGTAGCATGGCCTAGACCAGTATCACAACCTACAAAAGCACAAAACCATTCTCCAAATTAGCTTTGCAGAATTTAATTTTGACGTCAAATTAAAAACCTGTGTGGGACCAGTACTACATGTACATGCATACCCTAATCCAGGAAAACATAACAAGGAACTGCCAATAAGACATTCCATGCTTACCCATGTGTTCTTAAAGGGAATATACATCATTTGCTTTTGCTGTAATTTTCAGAAATGGATGGAATTGGGGGGTTGGAAATATATAGCAAATATAGTTACACTGACTTTTTTGAGGTTTTGGGTTCGAAAATGCTATAAAAACCAAGAAAAACAATCATTTTCCTGTAGTCTGGTTCCCTGACTCCATATAAGAAGAAACAGATCAGTTTACATACATTGGGGAATTGTAAGGTCAGGGAACCAGTCTAGCTGGCTTGTACCCGTTCTTGGGTGTGTAATCGATTGCAAACAAGTGCGATGGTCAATTGGGGCCAGTATTTGAAAAAAAGCCAGTTTTTTCCAACGCTGGTCGGCCGACCAGCGTTGGAAATTGATACAAAAATACCACTTTTCTTGAAAATGACAGTATACCAGGTGCCATGTCATTCACTAACAGTCCAGCAAGGTATTTCAAAATGATTTGGTAGTTTTATTTTTTATGTTTGCAAATGTTGTATTTTCCCTTTAAAGTTGAGGCATGCACATTTATACACATGTTGGAAATTCTATCACTCTACAAAAATCAACAAAGCTATCAACATGATCAATTAAAGAAAGCATTCCATCAACCATCAAACTTTTTTTTTAATCTCTGTTCCGTTGTCAAATCATACATGGGTCGTATGGCAGCTGCCAAAGGCGCCTTTACATGCCTGTGGCTTGACCACGTTCTAGCTGCGTCCTTCGCAACTCAGCTTCCCAGCTGCGAGTAAGGATGATTAGCCTCTCAAATTATTATGTAGCACCATCTTTTGGCTTGTAGCCAATTCAGTATGCGGTTGTTTCCGTTTTTCAATTATCTTCGTTTCAAATAAACTAAACTCCAAATCTCTGCAAGCTTCAAGAAAATTGTTCAACAGTTGAAAAATTATCCAATATGTTGAGACAAAAATCCTTGCAAACATGGCAAAGAAGAAAATGGGATTTCATTCTGCAACCATATCTGGTTTGGGGATAGAGGTCGTAGGACAGGGGGAAATTAAAGCATTTTTGAAGCCGAACTAACAAGTTTCTTCAGGCTTGGGAGCTACAGTGCCTAGGGCACTTTTGAGGAATCCTTGGTTTCATTATCAAAACAACTAGTTGTTAAAATTAATCACTATTGGAAAAATGAATGGAGACGGCAAAAAATGGTCACTGCACTGGATATACGTGTACACACACAGCGATTTTCAACATGTCCTCCAAACATACAATACCGGAGTCTTATAATAAAGCGCAGTTATCTACCAACAATTAGGTACTCAAGGTGCTGGTAATTATTGCTATTTTTCAAGAAAGGTAAATAAGTTTATGAGAAATATGAGACCCATTATGTAGCACCTTATAAGGGTTTACAAGGTGCTGCGGCGCATATTGCAGCCACTGCCAGAAACACCGGGGCAAACCCCTTCTCTTTGCGATAAGTGTTACTGGGTTCTTTGACGTGCATTTACACAACACACGGGACCTACATACGGCTTTACGTCCCATCCAAAGGATGAAGCAATAATGGTGAAGTGCCTTGCTCAAGAGCACAAGTACCATGTTCCCATGGTCGGGATTCGAACCAATGTACCAAGGCACACGAGTCGAACACCGTAACCATTGGACCATAGCACCCCACAACATAAGACATTATGTTGATTTGGAAATATACAAGAAAAATTAATCTAAATTGCACACTGTACTCAATTGTGACGATCTCCTTTGCACTCCAAACAAAACTCAAGTGATGTCACAAGACCTTCACTTTTGCAGAAAAGTAGGCCAATTTTTCCTAACCATTCTGTCGCTTAAAGTTGTATTCCACATGCTATTTTCAAGTTTATCCCCCCAAAATATATTACTTTTATAAATTGCTATTTTTCAAACAAAATAAAACGCATTTACTTTTGAATGAGACATCAACCCGAAAAAAAAATCAACCCATGTTTAGTAAGTGAATTTATTACTTTAAAACCTTAACTCCCCAGCATAATTTACTAGGAACCGTACCCATTCAGGCAAATTCCAACACCCACATGGGAAATTGTACACACACACTGTTGGACTTAGTTTCTGGAGGTATGCCAAACCCAATGTAAAAGACCATCAGTTTAGTGGTACCCTACCCATCCCAACAGATTTAAACAAAACCTGCTGTTGGGCTTTGATGGGTTGAGTTCGGTTAGGGTTAAATCAATACAAATTTCTAATTATTGCGACCCTACAATTACTGATTATTATTATTATTGATTATTCCGTTCTCACGGGGTTTGGCTGGTTCCCACAGGGTTTGGCTGGTTCCCGTGCCACAATCAGTATTTGTACGGACCAGTAACCAGTCTGCTCGCAAAGTGGATCTGTTTGTGCCCAATATGAAAAACTTTTATTTCAGAGGGTTACAGACATCCAACAAATGAAAGAAAGGTTCTTTTTATGGTTGGAATAAAAAATAGAAACCAAAAATTTGTAAGGAGAAAAAAAATATCATACATTGTATTTGTTGAAGAGCATGTGGAACACAACTCTAAACTCTTTATCTGGCAAAAGCATCTTGGAAACAGCTGCACGTGAGTCCCTCGCAAATGGGTTCTATTTCAAGCCTGTCTGAGCTATTTTCAGGACGGGAATCAATCGTCTATCATCTAAATGACCACAGGAACTATTTGTGGCCAATTCTGGCACTTAGCCCTATCCTCACATTACCCTGGCTCACCTCCATTTCCGATCGACCAAATTGCTAAAATTGAATCAAGTCCATGCACGGCATGCTTTACAGGTAGAGTAGGCATTTATTTTCAAGTTTATCCCCCCAAAATATATTACTTTTATAAATTGCTATTTTTCAAACAAAATAAAACGCATTTACTTTTGAATGAGACATCAACCCGAAAAAAAAATCAACCCATGTTTAGTAAGTGAATTTATTACTTTAAAACCTTAACTCCCCAGCATAATTTACTAGGAACCGTACCCATTCAGGCAAATTCCAACACCCACATGGGAAATTGTACACACACACTGTTGGACTTAGTTTCTGGAGGTATGCCAAACCCAATGTAAAAGACCATCAGTTTAGTGGTACCCTACCCATCCCAACAGATTTAAACAAAACCTGCTGTTGGGCTTTGATGGGTTGAGTTCGGTTAGGGTTAAATCAATACAAATTTCTAATTATTGCGACCCTACAATTACTGATTATTATTATTATTGATTATTCCGTTCTCACGGGGTTTGGCTGGTTCCCACAGGGTTTGGCTGGTTCCCGTGCCACAATCAGTATTTGTACGGACCAGTAACCAGTCTGCTCGCAAAGTGGATCTGTTTGTGCCCAATATGAAAAACTTTTATTTCAGAGGGTTACAGACATCCAACAAATGAAAGAAAGGTTCTTTTTATGGTTGGAATAAAAAATAGAAACCAAAAATTTGTAAGGAGAAAAAAAATATCATACATTGTATTTGTTGAAGAGCATGTGGAACACAACTCTAAACTCTTTATCTGGCAAAAGCATCTTGGAAACAGCTGCACGTGAGTCCCTCGCAAATGGGTTCTATTTCAAGCCTGTCTGAGCTATTTTCAGGACGGGAATCAATCGTCTATCATCTAAATGACCACAGGAACTATTTGTGGCCAATTCTGGCACTTAGCCCTATCCTCACATTACCCTGGCTCACCTCCATTTCCGATCGACCAAATTGCTAAAATTGAATCAAGTCCATGCACGGCATGCTTTACAGGTAGAGTAGGCATTTATTTTCATTTGAACTAACAAAAAGTGCTCAAAACATGCTTAAAGGGGCACTCCGTCCTGAAATCCAAAAAATGTTCATGTTTGAGAGTGTTTACTTATAAATCCTATTTCAAAAACATCTGGTTGAAAGGAAACCAACCTCGTGTCTTACCGTTCCAGAAAAAAACCCTGGTTGTTTACATCGGACATGACTGAGTACGCACACGTTTTTTCTGTCGTTTCAGTCAATGTTCGATACATGTTGTGTGTGTCACATAAAATTACACACAGCACCAATGCACAAATGTGGTTTCTTACACGTCCGCAAAAGGCAAACACTTTATGGCTGGAATCACAACTAGCATGAACAGCCCGACTTTTTGGGGTCGCAAAAGTGGACCCCGAAAGTTGTTCTTGCACGCATAATACAGAAATAACACAAAACCCCAGTTTTTAAAGGATAGTTGTGTGAATGTTTATATCCTACTTTTAACTGTTCTTTCCAATTAACAGCATTTCGTTCAAAGCGCGTTTTTTTAAAACCCAAATTGGGCTCATTCCAGGATGCAGTGCCCTTTAACATATAACCTGATGAAATTTTAGCTCTGTGAATGCTGTATATTTTGAGAAAACAGAATAAACAAAAACACAATATTCTGGGTCTTGTTTCAATTCCAAAGTAGCTGAGTCAATACAGCAGGCAGGGCGCTTTGGGGCAGTACAGGGATTACTGGCCTCCCCCCCCATTTTTTTTTAAAGTAAAAGACAGGCACTGCATACACCACCATTTTTTTCCTCAAAAAATTTGGTTAAAGTGGTCAGAAATTGTCTCAGATCACACCACAGTGCATCTAGAATCCAAACATTTTTGGGGGCCCTTAAGTGGGCTCTGAACCCCTCACCGTAATTTTTTGACCCATTTTTTGGGTTGCCTAAAAAATTTGCCCCCCCCCCCCGAAAAAAAATGGTGTTCTGGATCTGCCCTTGAGTTAAGACATGTAAGTGAGCCAGGTTTCCAGTAAAATATCATCATGTTCACTATTTCAAACCAAAAGAAATTAAATTGGCAAAATAGTCACCATCGGCAAAAGAGTCTTAAAAATAAAGAA